TATTGAGTGTTTTCTTACCCAACCCAAATTACCACACCTTATATTTCAAAACTATGACAAAAGTAGTTGTTATGGAATGGTCCACCATTAGGGGAGGAAGTTTATTTTTGTACACTTTGATGTGCATAAAATGATTTGGGCAAAGATCCGCAAGGCTAAAACTGAAAGGAAGAATATTCATGTCATCTGGTTGGATCTTGCTAATGCATATGGTTCAGTTCCACATAACATGATACAGATGGCATTGTTGGTGTTCTTCTATGTTCCACAGAGACTCAGGGATTGTCTGGCAATGTACTTCTATCAGTTCATGCTGCGTTTTTCAATGATGAAGTACACTATAAAGTATGTAGAGCTGCAGAGGGGAATTGCTATGGGATGTGCCATCTCTGCAGTACTGTTTGTGATGGTGATGGAGGTGATCCTGAGAGGGTCTGATGCCAGAGTACCGCTTCCTGCAGAATGAGGTCAAAATCTGGGCATTTATGGATGATTTGACAATAATTCAAGATGATAGGGAATCAGTACAGTTGGTTCTGGATAGACTTGCAGAGTTGGTAGAGTGGAGTCAGATGGCCTTCAAACCAAAGAAGAACAGGTCACTGTCTATGAAGGGACGGTATGTCATTAATGATGTGTTTTCCATCGCAGGTGAAAAGATATCAACAGTGTGGGAGCAAGGTGTGCAGAGTCTTGGGAGTGGGTATAACTTCCCTGTGACAGATTGTCACTGTGGGATTATAATCCAGTGACAAGTGGAGGTGGGTCTGTGAAGCTTCCCAGGAAATTTAAAGTTTGGTGTGTGCATTTTGGGTTGATGCCAAGACTAAAGTGGCCACTAATTATATATGAGGTGGCACTGTCTCAAGTTGAGATAATTGAGAGGAAAATCAGTAAATGCATACAGAAGTGGCTTGGTGTTGCAAGAATTCTGTCACCAGTCACTTTGTATGGCAGCTCGGGGGCCTTCAGTTACCTCTTACTTCTTTGGTGGAGGAATACAAGGTGGAAAAGGTGAGATTGCTGTGTGGATCTAGAGATGCTGTAATCTGGGAAAATATGCCAGAGGTGAAGACAGGAAGAAAGTGGAAAGTGTCAAACGTGATGTCAGCAGTGGAAGTTATGGTAAAGCAGGCAGAAGTTCAGGGTGTTACAAGGAAAGGATGTGCTGGACTTTGTCTAGTTGAGAGGGAGAGATTCTGGTCAGAGGCCAGTGGACAGAAGCAACGCTAGTTACAGGAACAGGGGGTTTGGGAGCTTGAGGAGGAGAGACGTTTGGTGCGGACTGTCCAACAGGCTCAGCAGGGTCGATGTCTCAACTGGGAGGGTATTGAGGGTTTTCAGATTAGTTGGTCTGATTGGTGGCGTCTCAGTGCAGGACATTTGAGGTTCCTCATTTAGGCAGCATATGATGTGGCAGTATCACCGGCAAATTTGAAGAGATGGAGAGTGCAGGAGTCACCCTCCTGCCGGTTGTTTGGTGTATATAGAAATCTGCACCACATACTGTCATCCTGCCCGAAGGTGCTACAGAACGGCTGGTACAGCTTCAGACATAACTTGGTTCTGGGGTGTGAGGTCATGGCAGCAGCTGCAAGAAGTGCTAATATACTCTCAATGGACTTGCAAAGGATTGCTTTCCTGAAGCAAGGTATGACTAACACAAGGCAGAAGAGCAAGGCAGAGGACTCAAGGAAATGGTGAGTGCTGCCAGTGGAGGTTATTGTGTCTGGACTGAGGCCAGATGTAAGTGTTAATTGATAGCAAGAAGCAACAGATGTTGCTTGGCAAGCTGACAGTGGCATAGGAAGAATAGATTGAAGAGGCTCATGAAAGAAAACTGCTTTGGTATGAGGAACTGGTGGCTGAAGTCATTGAGAGAGGATACAGCTGCATCCTGGTGCTGTTTGAGGTTGACTGTAGAGGATTTCCTGCTGCTTCCTTAAAGAGGTTCCTTGCATGCTGGTATCCAAAAGCCAAATAAGGTGATAAAAACTTATGGTGAAAAAATGGTAGAAGACAGTGCATGGATTACACAGAAATTCGGTTGCAATGTAACATCATCCATCTGTTGCAGGCAGACCGTGTGGAGAGATTATTGAACTTAATGGGATGAAACTTTGCTGAAGCTTGGTGCTCAGCTGAAGATTGCAGCTGGTCTGGAGCACTTGATGTGTACATGTACATAAACATGCCTGAAATACCCCAGTTGCAATCCTTGGCTCAACCATGTTCAAAAGTTATTTGGACTCAAATTGAAAAACAGGCCAAAAAGCACCCAAATTACCCCACCCCACCCTAACTCCTCTTATATGAAGTTAATATAAGTTTCTAAAATCATTTAGTTTGTCTGTAACCACTCTAAAATTTTTTACTCTATCTTGTCTCAATGCTAAGAATTTGGTTTGTTTGGTTATCACAAATCTTTTCGTTGGTTGAATATTTCTCAATATTATTTCTTTGACTTCCTTAAATGCAAAGTTTTCAATTTCAGCTGGGTAAGTCATTAATGAAATCTGCCTAATGACTTCACATCCCACAGTGGTCAAAAATATCCATGATTTCTTTCTGTCCTTCAGGTGTTTGGTCATCTCATAACTTCTTTATTCTGACATGCGCCTCAAAGCATTTTATCCAAATCTTTATGTCTTCAGATCTTATGATCAAACTTAGTAGCTGTAGATATTCTACATACACTGACTCAAAGTTACCTGTGAGCTATAGTTATAGTTCTCTTTATGCTAAAATTACCTATTAGCTAAACCAATCCCATTACAGAAAAATTAATACATCTTTTGAATTTCTGACTATATCACAAGGTAACATAGAAATCTTGTTATATAATAAATGTTTATGTATATGCAATATAAACACTGAAAGTAGATTCCATAGTATCTACTAAGTGAATCAAATATTTATTTTAAATTGTCATTTTGAGATATTCAGGTATAGCATAATTGGTTTAACAATTGAAAACAAAAAAATATTTTACGATTAATTATTGATTTAATTAACCCTCTGGTGAAGACATATGGAATGATTAACCTTTAAAATTAACACAAAATTGACAGTGGGCAAAAAAATTATATATAGCAAACACAAAATACCTATGCACTTAGTCACCAGTGATACTTATCTTGACCTGAAAATATATCCATAAATATCTGTTTATCTATGTCTATTTATGTACTTTCAAAGAAGAGATAAGCAGATAAAAAGTAGCCTAATGGTAAAAGAAAAAGGAAAGTATAAAAATGTGGCATTAAAAGTAAATCAATTCATTATTGAAGACACATATGAAACAAATCTGATGTTTCAAACAAGAATACTGTGCTGACCTGCTCTACAAAGGAAAATTGATGTAAGTTTAGTGAATAACCAAAATACACTGAGATAGTCCAACTAGTATCAGAACAATGAAACTATTCTTAATATAATTAGGTATACACAAAAGTTCTCAGCAGACCTTCTTAAAAATGATGAATACACAAATGGAAAACAATTTTCATTGAAAAATTTTACACATATTTTATAAAAAATTGATTTTTTAATGATGCATGATATTCAGGATAATATTTTTCTGAAAATTGAATAAAAATATTAAATTGACAATTTTAATAGAAAATGTACCTAAATATATGTATAATTTTGCCCTTTGACTTTCTCTCTCACTTGAATAAAAATAAAGTAGCTTCTTACTTATGTAGTAATTAGTATCAGAGAATGTATCACTAATCAAAATTATTGTTTCGCAATTTAGTTACATTAAAACAGCAAAACTGGTGTTCATATGAAAATAAAGAAAAAATAACATGTAACAGTGTAAGGTTTGCTTAAAAAGTTTCACCATTATTTATCACATACTTTTTGATTTCATACTCAAATCAATATCATATATAAATGTGTTAGTGTTTTTTAACATTTGAAGAATGATTTTAGTTACTGATGTGAAAACAGATTTTTATCTAAAATGAATTAAAATGTTTATATGATTTCAAAATTACAAAGGGAACCATATAAAAAAAACAAATGGGTATTACAGCAAAAGACATTTCTGTAGATAACAAATGAAACATTGCTATAATGGCTTATTTTGATTTAACTTTGTATTTCTTATTTTCCAATGCATCTGCCATAGACTGATGGTTTTTTTTCAGTTTTACAAATCATTGCTTGTTAGTTTGATTCTCCCTTGTTATTGCACTAATGAGGTTAATGCTGACATATACTTACTGTCCTATTAATTAGAGTGGAAAGAACTAAGCTGAAAACTCACCTATTATAATAGTGCATTATATTCACCTCAAAGTACTATGAAAGGCAAACATACTGTCATTTTGGTGTATAAGACACACCCTTATTTTCATAAAGAAAACAGCCCCAAGAGATATCAGGGATAATTGCATCAGATATTTGAGTTTACTGTACAAGATACAAGCAGGATAAAGTTAAATATATAAAATAAAGTGGAAGGCCTACATGGTGGCTGAGATAGTTATGTACTTTTTAGTGAGGCCAGAGATTGGTGTTCAAACACAGTAAAGACCCAGGAATTCAAATTGAATCAACTGTATTATTAAATGTGGATCAGGTGAAACAATCATCAGATGCTGATGGTAAATACATAAGTTGAAAGATCTTTGGCATTCAACAAATGTTTTTTCTCAGCTTTATTTAGTTGTCTTCTATGTAAAGCTATAAAATTCTACACAAAATTTTCTCTTTTTTTTTTCTCATCTTTTTAAAAGTAGGGACAAACAAGTACCCTAAATTCCACTCTTACAACAAAAACAGTAGAAGCAAAATGAGGAGCATTTTAAAAGCAAGCAGCAGCAGCAGCATAACGATAAAGGAATCAGGTCTGGCTTCAGTTGCCATGTCATCATTTGTAGTTTGGTGGTTCCTGGTGAAGAGGAAGCTCAGACAAGAGAGGCTTGGTAGGATTTGTGGTGTCAGGGAGATTGTTGGCTCAAAAAAATTCACTGACTTGGCTGACAATTCTATGAACATATATAAATGCAACTATGCCATATTGGAGGTTCAATACATGTTCCTGTGGGTAAAGGAGAGAGAATGCAAAAGTTGAAAGAAAAAATATCTGATAGAAAAAACTGACATAGAAACATATGTAGCAAAAGAAAGAAGTAATGAGTGCAGAAGAGATGATGAAAGTGTAGGGAAGAGATCTGGAGGAAAAGAGAGAGAGAGTCAGAGTAAAGGGAAGAGATCTGGAGGAAAAGAAAGACAGAATCAGAGTAAAAGGAAGAGTTCTGGAGGAAAAGAAAGAAAGAATCAGAGTAAAGGGAAGAGATCTGGAGGAAAAGAAAGAAAGAATCAGAGTAACGGGAAGAGATCTGGAGGAAAAGAAAGAAAGAATCAGAGTAAAGGGAAGAGATCTGGAGGAAAAGAAAGAGAGAGTCAGAGTAAAAGGAAGAGATCTGGAATGAAAAGAAAGACAGAATCAGAGTAAAAGGAAGAGATCTGGAATGAAAAGAAAGAGAGAATCAGAGTAAAGGGAAGAGATCTGGAGGAAAAGAAAGAGAGAATCAGAGTAAAGGGAAGAGATCTGGAGGAAAAGAAAGAAAGAATCAGAGTAAAGGGAAGAGATCTGGAGGAAAAGAAAGAGAGAGTCAGAGTAAAGGGAAGAGATCTGGAGGAAAAGAAAGAGAGAGTCAGAGTAAAAGGAAGAGATCTGGAATGAAAAGAAAGACAGAATCAGAGTAAAAGGAAGAGATCTGGAATGAAAAGAAAGAAAGAATCAGAGTAAAGGGAAGAGATCTGGAGGAAAAGAAAGAAAGAATCAGAGTAAAGGGAAGAGATCTGGAGGAAAAGAAAGAAAGAGTCAGAGTAAAGGGAAGAGATCTGGAGGAAAAGAAAGAAAGAGTCAGAGAAACGAGAAGAGATCTGGAGGAAAAGAAAGAGAGAGTCAGAGTAAAGGGAAGAGATCTGGAGGAAAAGAAAGAGAGAATCAGAGTAAAAGGAAGAGATCTGGAGGAAAAGAAAGAAAGAATCAGAAGTAACGAGAAGAGATCTGGAGGAAAAGAAAAGAGAGAGTCAGAGTAAAGGGAAGAGATCTGGAGGAAAAAGAAAAGAAAAGAATCAGAGTAAAGGGAAGAGATCTGGAGGAAAAGAAAGAAAGAGTCAGAGTAAAGGAAGAGATCTGGAGGAAAAAGAAAAGAAAGAGTCAGAATGTGAGAAGAGATCTGGAGGAAAAGAAAGAGAGAGTCAGAGTAAAGGGAAGAGATCTGGAGGAAAAGAAAGAGAGAATCAGAGTAAAAGGAAGAGATCTGGAGGAAAAGAAAGAAAGAATCAGAGTAACGAGAAGAGATCTGGAGGAAAAGAAAGAAAGAGTCAGAGTAACGAGAAGAGATCTGGAGGAAAAGAAAGAGAGAGTCAGAGTAAAGGGAAGAGATCTGGAGGAAAAGAAAGAGAGAATCAGAGTAAAAGGAAGAGATCTGGAGGAAAAGAAAGAAAGAATCAGAGTAACGAGAAGAGATCTGGAGGAAAAGAAAGAGAGAGTCAGAGTAAAGGGAAGAGATCTGGAGGAAAAGAAAGAAAGAATCAGAGTAAAGGGAAGAGATCTGGAGGAAAAGAAAGAAAGAATCAGAGTAAAGGGAAGAGATCTGGAGGAAAAGAAAGAAAGAATCAGAGTAAAGGGAAGAGATCTGGAGGAAAAGAAAGAAAGAATCAGAGTAAAGGGAAGAGATCTGGAGGAAAAGAAAGAGAGAATCAGAGTAAAAGGAAGAGATCTGGAGGAAAAGAAAGAGAGAGTCAGAGTAAAGGGAAGATATCTGGAGGAAAAGAAAGACAGAATCAGAGTAAAGGGAAGAGATCTGGAGGAAAAGAAAGAAAGAATCAGAGTAATGAGAAGAGATCTGGAGGAAAAGAAAGAGAGAGTCAGAGTAAAGGGAAGATATCTGGAGGAAAAGAAAGACAGAATCAGAGTAAAGGGAAGAGATCTGGAGGAAAAGAAAGAAAGAATCAGAGTAAAGGGAAGAGATCTGGAGGAAAAGAAAGAAAGAATCAGAGTAAAGGGAAGAGATCTGGAGGAAAAGAAAGAAAGAATCAGAGTAAAGGGAAGAGATCTGGAGGAAAAGAAAGAGAGAATCAGAGTAACGAGAAGAGATCTGGAGGAAAAGAAAGAAAGAATCAGAGTAACGAGAAGAGATCTGGAGGAAAAGAAAGAAAGAATCAGAGTAAAGGGAAGAGATCTGGAGGAAAAGAAAGAGAGAGTCAGAGTAAAGGGAAGATATCTGGAGGAAAAGAAAGACAGAATCAGAGTAAAGGGAAGAGATCTGGAGGAAAAGAAAGAAGAATCAGAGTAAAGGGAAGAGATCTGGAGGAAAAGAAAGAGAGAATCAGAGTAAAGGGAAGAGATCTGGAGGAAAAGAAAGAAAAATCAGAGTAAAAAGGCATGAAAGAGTAAGAAGCACTAAAAACAAAAATAAGCACCTAAATAGTAAAGGACAAAAAGAAACAAAAGTCCAAGGAGAAAGAGAAGCACATGAAGATGTGATTAAAAGAAGAGACAAAACAAAAACAAAGAGAAAGAAGAAAAGTATATCAAATAGTGGGTGGGATCAGAGTGTGAGAGAACACATTAAAAAAGAAAAGAAAAGTAAAATCAAAAGAAAAATAAAGAAGCTATAGAAAGAAAAAAAATATCTTGAAAGTTATATTTTCTCAGCAACAAAGACAAAGTGACTCATCATCGAATAGAAAAAAAGTCAAAAGTAAGAAAGCATTTCCTCCCGTATCTGCTTCATCTGAGATTTTACAAATCTAAAACAGATGCCTGCACAAAGTATCATTTGATGGCATATAAGATCCCCCGCCCCACGGATTTTCCCCATTCAGAAAAACAGACTAAAAATATCTCTCATTTTACACAAAAAGTTGAAATATATGTTAGGCTAATGTTTATCCAGATACTGTAGACTACTAGCAATTGTATTTATTCTAATCCCATAATTATGTTATATGCATCCACTGCACTCTGGGAGTGATGGTGGAAGATTCAGCTCCTACACCCGCTGCTGAAACTAAGAATGAAACAGAAAGCAAACTTTGTCTTCTTTGCCTCAATCTCTGACAATGTTATGGAGTTGAGTTGTATCAGGTGGTTAAAATCATTCCTGCTATTAATTTTCAAAATAAATCAGAAAAAAAATCTTCATCTTCCTTCATCTAAGGTCTATAGGTCTTATTTCAGAAAATAAGTACAAGCCCCCCCCCACCAAAAAAACAAAAAAAAACATGTATTTAAAATAAAATCAAAAAATGGTTACAGTAGGTTAATAGATCTAAAAAGTAAAAAACAAAACATGTTCATTTTAAGAGGGGATTAAAATAAAAAATACAGTCTCATGAATTTTGAAAATTTAATATTTTATTTACCCCACCCCACACACACACACTTTTATTTTGTAGCACCCTGATTGATAAGAAACATAAATGGGGAATAGGAAGAATCTTATATATTATCATCAACTGATGTAATTATGTATTTTAATTATAAAATATGTATATGAAATTGTGCTGCAATTGGAAATTATCCATTAGACCATCAGCACATCCAAGCTTACAGCATCTAGTATTTGCAAGTGGTCACTCATCTAGGTACTGACCAGGCTTGATATTGCTTAATTTTGGTGATTGTACAAGAACCAGTATTGTATATGATATAACTGTAAGTTTTCTCTTGAATATCTGACATAAAATTGTTTATAAGTAAAATAGGAATCTTGGAAGCTTTAAAAGGTGCAATTTAGCAACTACAATGGTTTGTACTTGGGATATATTAATGGACATGGCAAAGATTACATTTACTGGAAACTGAAATCTTCAAAATTAAAAAGTCACATGTGGAGTGGAATTTTAGGTCCAATTGCAGTCTCTCCTTCGGTGTGCTCACAGAGAATAGTAGCCTTGATTACATGTGACATAAACTTTTTAACCATCAGTCTTGTGGCTTTCCATAACCCTGGTTGATTCAAATTACACAGCAGCATTATTGGAAATCTTTTAGCTCTTGTCTGTTTGGCATAAGATCTGAAGGTTGCAATATTAATTCATCTCTTGTCTTGACCACTGTGTTTATAAATAAGAACAAGATGGACATGTAAACAAAAAGAGACAAAAAGGAAAAGGTAGCAAAAACTAGTACTTTTTTACTACAATAATTTAAGTATTTATCTTTGAAATTTTAATCATGATTTTAATTGCATATTGCTTGTTGTAAAAAAAATATATGTAATTTTACAAGCATAAAACTGGTTAAAAAATGAACATTTTCTTCAGTTTACATATAAATAAAATTAAAAAGTTGCTAAGCCAATCAGTACTTTAATTTATATTGCAGCTTTAAATTTTCAGATTTAAGGTATTAATTTACTCTAACTGGACTAATTTTAGAAAATAAGTGATTTAAACCTTTAAATTTAAATTTTTCTTCTTTTTAAGGATATAAATTTTATGAAAACTGATTCAACCAATTTCAAGCAACTAAACTGTTTTGTTTTTATCAAGTAGATTTGAGAGCAAAGCAAACAATAGCATTTGTTTAGAAAGACACTGGTATGTTTAAACTCAAATGTAAACTAAAGGGAATCAATACATTTCAAGAATTTGCTTTGTATTTAGGACAATTTGGTTTTGAAGGCAATGAATATGAAAAATTGTAATGCACATCAAAGCTGTATGTGGACAAATTTTCAATAGAGCAAGTACAGGTATTTGGAAAGGGAAGAGACAGATACACAAATTTTCTTAGATGTATTGAGGAATTCCATATCAAAGCAACCAACATTTGGGGAAAATGATACTATCAAATTAGATCATAAGCCTGGGTACTTTTCAAGATATGAACCTTCAAATTTTTAGGTTTTTTTTTTTTTTTAGTTTTCATTATGGATCTTCAGTATTTTTGATAATATACATTTACTGGAAACTGAAATCTCCAAAATTAAAATTATATATATTTTTGATACTCTATTCACTCTAAAATTTTGTACTTGACCAACATATTTTGTGAATGTAGAATCCCAAACTTTGGTTTAGAAAGTTCCTATGGGTGCATGGACAATGGCTAAACTCTTGGTTTACTCTCCAAACTAGTATAATGACCTCATCATAAATAGCAACAAAAATAGAGTGTACAATACAATGATAATATGCATATTTCTTGTAAGTTTAAAGTGATGCCAAATATTTTTTTTGCTTTATTTATCTTTGGCATAAAATTGCAAATTCAAAGTGATGTTCTAATATGTCACTATCCATAATTACTTGCCTTATTCAACCAATATTTTGTCCCACCAAACATATTGCATGTATTCCTTTGGTAAGAAAGGAAAATTTATTGCAAAGAACAGATATTTTGTGGGTGTTTTCCAGAACATGACAATCTTAACATCTTCAAGACTAAGGTCAAGTATTATCTTTCTGCCATAGCCTCATAATCTTCACTTCCTACTTCTTTCTCTTACATTCATATCACACACCTCATTCACACCTCTATCCTGAATGGCTCTTGGGTTTTGTATTACATGAACTTTATTAAAACAAACAATTCATTCATAGAAAAATGTGAGATCAGGTGTAATAAATTATTTGGTTAGTATTACCAGACTGAAACATTTTTTCAATTTTGGTAATATTTTTATTTTTAAATGCAAGTGGCAAATAATATTTGAAGAAGAAAGTGAGAGGGGACAGACTGATATCACTGGGAAGTGCCACAATTTTAGAAGGTAAAGGTTTCAATGTTGTTCCATGACATAAATTCTGGTATAACTGCATCATTCAATCTGTTTGAACCAGCCAAAAATACTGTTACTGATGATGATGCTGATGATTATGTTCATGACGAAAACATGTATGCTGCAGAAGAACCCATCACTTCTCCATGAAATCAGCTTAATTCAGTATTGAACTCCTTAGATCAATCACCAGGATATTTTCATGGACTGTCATCTGATTGTTGATTTCCAGTTGCCAAATATAACTGGAAAAAACCCTTGAAAACCAAATTGACCCAAATATTGAGATAAACAAAAATATTTGATTGTTTATTGTTTCTGATGAAGGAAAGGATAAAACATTCAACATTTAATGAAACAGTTCAAATTGTTACAATGACTCCAGAATCTTGGAGAAGTGAGCAAAGTTATTTTTTTTAATATCTCTGATCCTTTAGTGTGTGAATTTAAAATATTAAAAGCTGAGAAGGGAATAATCACCAAGACTTAGGAAATAAATTGTTTGAGGAAACCTGTTTAGTGGTCATTAATCTTTTTCCAGGATGATGTGTACTCTCAACTCATGCCAGGATAAAAAGACTATGTCAGTGTGGAGAAAGGCCATACTGAAAGTGTTCATCACAAATGTTTGCTTCCCTGCAATTTTCACGATCCTTATGCGAAATTAAAAAAAGTTAGCTCAACTGTTAAATTTGAGTTCTCCAAATTTTGCAGCTTGCGCTCAAAGTGGTGTATCAGCCAGATTTTATGGCACTCCTCATCAACATACCATCCTTTTGGTGGGTGCAGATTTATGGGGATATAAAGATATAAAGGATCTGACAGTAAAAGTTGCCTGCAGTCTAGAAAGAATAGAGTGATGGTCCACAGATGAAGCAACTGTCCAGGAAGAAAAATTTGGTTTCCTTCCTAGACCAAGAGCTTTCAAATTTGCTTTTTATCTATTAAAATAAAACAGTGGCAAAGTACAGACTGCTCAGAATTCATAACATGGAGTATTTTGGTCAATGAGTACAAAAAACATCTTGGCACTTATATTGATAAGACTTCCCACCTATACATTGCAAAATGCTAAGTATCTCAAAGAGTTAAAAGATAGCCTTCCTTGTGATAAATGCCTCATTTGTGGAGATTTCACAAACTATCAATTTGTGATCTATGATGAAATCCAAGGATACCACTGGTCAAAAGAAAGCTACACTTTACATATCATTCTGATATATTCCAAACAGGATTTTCTTTCAGCTGACCTAAGCTTTGAGACATGCTTTGTGCATGAGGTAAAGCAACATACATCTCCCTTCATTGAAAAGTGGCCAGGCATCACCAAAATCCACTTCTTTTCAGATGGATAGTATAGGAATTAGAAGAACTTTCTGAACCTCTGAAAGACTTCAAAGCTGAATGCTTTGCTACAAGTTATGAGAAATCTCCCTCTGATGACATAGGTGACAATATCAAAAGCAAAATTACTAAGGCAAGCTTGCAGAAACTGAAAAAATGATCAAATTCTGGATGCTAAAGCCATGTTTCAATTTTGTTGAGAACGAAATTAACATATTGACTACCAACCACAAGTTTTTATATGACACTGACAATGAGTTTGTTTGGCATTTCTTTATACATTTCCATCTGTGTGGGGCCAGCAACAAATTTATTTGCAGTGATACTTTTAGTGTGAAAAAAATGTTAAGACTTCATTTGAAACTATTGATGTAATGGAATAACCTGTCAGCCACTCAAATATTCAGCCACTAAAATATTTTCAAACTGATTTTTTCAAATCTTTGTTGGTGAAAACAGATCTTCTAACCATGAGTTTTGTATGATTCCTTACCCCATGAATGACTACACTATAGGTAGTAATTACCTATAAGTATCTGTAAGCCAACGGACTATGGAAACTAGCTGGGATCTGTTTAGTACGACTCAGACTTATGCGAGAACTACCGACCTTCCAATAGTATCACTGACTAATGAATTGACCTGCAACGACCTTGTGCATAACTGTTACCTTATTCTTATTGTATTGGTTTTTGCAATAAACCCTTATTTATTTTATCCACAGTGTTTTTCAAGTATATAGCATATATATAGCATGGAATATAACAACTATAAATCAAATCAGCAAAAATTTTTATTGCTTAACTATTAACTATTATAAAATTGACATTTGAAGTCAGATTTTGTAATTAACCTCTGGCAGTCAATGTGTTAAAGATATCACTTTTGTCTTAATTGAAGCAACTACAACGGAGACACTTTGAACAACTCTTGGTTAAAGATATGACACCAGAACAATATTACCAGGAACAATAAGCTTCCATCACAATATGCCATGTTCTGAGTTATTCATTTGGGGTGAAATGTACAAGTGAAGATCAGCAGCTGCAAATATTTTACCTTTTGACGGGTACTAATCATCCAAACATCCTTATTCCTAATATGAATGGGGCATAAAATCATCAGGACTACATTAATTGTAAGCATGATCAGTTCTGCTGAAGCTGATCACAAAAACAAGGTGATTCCTTGTTAAGTTTATACACCCATGAAAATGATTTTCATGGCACACAAAGAATGCTATTTACTGGGTATCATAGGATAATGTTATAATCAACATAACACCATCAACAATTTGATTAGGGCATTTTTATAACATTAAAGAAGAAGGTTACAGTACTATTATAATAACACATAATTAACCTTTGTCTTTCATAATATTTTCCATTTCACTTTCTCATATTTTCTCATTAACTAATATTTTCCATTTAATATTCACATTTGAATATATACCAAACAAAATAAATGCATTTGTTTCATGTTACTGTGAATATTACCATATTGATAACTTAGATCTTTGTCATTTGTACACACCCAATTTTTGAGAGGTTCTCAGACACTAAAATATTTTCAAACTGATTTTTTCAAATCTTTGTTGGTGAAAACAGGTCTTCTAACCATGAGTTTTGGATGATTCCTTACCCCAAAATGATTAGGTACAGATTTTTAAATCATTATTAGTTTGTAAATATATGCCAGGAGAAAATAGAAAAGAACTCATGATTTTATGACATATTTATGCTTTTCAAGATGCAGATTTTTTTATACATTCCTGCTGGTCCTGTCAAAATTTTAAATGACCAGGTCTTTTGAACTATTTGGACTAAGTACCTGAAAGTTTAAGAAATAACATAATTTTTTTCAGGTATAAAAAAATATGAAGCCAAAGCAATTTTGATGGTTCCATAGTGTGAATGTTTTAAGTTGAAATTACCCAGTTAGAAAACTCAGATATATAATGATTTTACTTATTTGTATTTGCAATGGCACAACAGAATTTATCCACCCTCATCTGTATTGGTGAGAAATATTTGGAATTTGATTCATCTGGAAAGAGAAACGATAGCACATTACTATGTTGATATTATGAAACATATATAAGCACCCAGCATGACAGGCCCATATACAATTTTGTTTTAGGTTGTAACTACTAATCAAGTATACATTAGATCCTTTGAATTTTATGTCAATACTACTTTAAGATTTAAACATATCTTGAATGTCACTTTGCCCAAAATTTTTTTTTTATTTTAAACCACCTAGTATGATTAAGCATGAATGTCAAAATGCAAATATTTAATGTTAACTCTATTAAAACATTATAGGATTATTTACCCTTTCAAGTGATTATCAAATATGCCCTCTATATAAATGCCACAATTTTCTTAAATCTACTTATCTTGTACCTTAAACTTCAAGTAAGAAACAAACATTACTGGCTTGAATTCAAGACAAACAGTCCATTGCCTAAACTAAAGAATCATCACACAGTAATGATAAAACATTATTAGCTTGATAAATATACATCAGGTGAAAATAGAAAATTCTCTTAATTTATTTTAATTTTTATCTTAATTTGATGAATAAATGAAGTATTCTCTTATAAGATTGGCCACTTTGAGAAATTAACAAATAGATGTACTTGAAAATCAGTCAAGAAGCCTCAAGAAATGATCATTAACTAATGGAACCAAATTGATTTTATTCAGTTTCTCAGTAGAATGTATCAATAAATATTCAAAGATGATACAAGATTTTCTTGTACATTTGGTGTTTCACTGCTAGATTATGAGAAATGAAATGTTCTGAGTATTAAACATTTGAGTGATAGGAAATTACAATATTTTGCAGTATATAAAACACATCTCTACTCAAATCCCTGACTTTCAAAATCACTTTTTTCTGTATAGTGAAGGTTATGGTCTTATTTGCTCAGAGTAGTCATTGGTGATGGCCACCAAATTCAGTCCTGTGATACAAGCACTCAGGCTTGGTATAATCACAGTAACTAGTTCAAACTGGAACACTCTGCTCCACATTTATGATTATTTAAAAATGATGAGGTATGTCATCACCCCAATCAAAATGTTTCTGATTAAAATTGGCAGCTTACAGAATCACAAGATAAAACCCACTTTACTAAAATGATCAACTTGACTCACTTGGCAACAGTTAGCAAGATTTCAATGTTGTCATAAGAAATGACAACTTGTTGCTGATTTGAATCTTAATTTATTTCAGTGGCAAGAGAGATTGTTGATTTTTACAGCTGATTCTTCCTTGAACCAAGCCAACCAACAGCAAATATTACTGGTCTGGGTTTTAGTCATTTATTCTCAACTAACTTCAGGTGATTTGGTTTAGGTGATTTCTGGATGCTTTTTCATAGCAGTGGCTTGAACCCTGCAAACTAGCTACTATCCCTGCAATGGATTTTATGGTCACTGCACAATACATAGGGATTTCCAGAATTAACTCTGCCCTCAAGCAATGCAACTCGATTAACTTACCTAATGATGGTTCAAAAAGGTGCAGTTCCTACCTCTGTTACCTCCCACACCTGTTCAGCCCAATATTAAAACAAGCACTGTGATAAGAAAAGGAGAAGTCCCATTTTCATTACATCATCAAAATTTCATATTTGCAAATACATAATTATTCCAGGATTTCAATCCAAAAGTTTATCTCTCATCAATTCATTTGTCATTCTGGTCTGACCTAAGGTCAATTTCCTCAACAGCTAATATGTTTTAGTCAAAACAAAGACCTGCACTTTGGTTTTCACCATTTCATCAATAACTTTTTTTACTAACCCAATTCAACTTTCATTATCCTGTCTCTTAATTGTCATTTCTCTGCATGAATAAAACCATTTTAATCTGATTCCCTTTCCTTAAAAAAAAAACAAAAAAAGAATAGAGGTTTTTTTTTCTGTATTTTATTGAATCTTCTGCTAGCTTCTAAAATCTACATTCTCATGATGCTGCCACAAAGTCAAGAGTGGTTTAGCTGTATTGAACGGCCTTAATTCAATCTGTACATTTTTTACTTTACAAATATGCTAGCAAATAATAAGCAAACAAGAGAAAACAACACAAAACTGAAAAAAGACAAAGGCAATATTTTGGTCAACGAACAATTTTCAGTATATTGTAAAAAGAATTACAATAGCATAGATTTTGGGTTGAAATCTTGTAGTTTGTTGTTTAATTAACTTTAAACTCAAAATTTGTGTGTGTTTAACTGTTGTATATGAGTTTACCCAAGAAGTTAAATTTTGTAGTATTTTTTTTTTATTTGGACTCTAGGGAAAAATTTCAGTTTTTGAAATAATGGTCAGTCTCAATGAAAAGAATGTTCTTAGATAAGATGATGTTGTAGACTTGTTGAGTGCTGAAGAAAATCCCTCTGTTAGAAGTTGATAAGTGTCCTTCTAGTTGAAGGAAGGAATATTTATCGCATGTTTCATAGCATTTGCCCCTAAGGGACAGATGCAGGCTTTCTGCAGTGTTGCATCTTGAGAGATTATAAGTTGAAAGAGAAAGACTGATGATGTCGTTAAATATTTATAATGTTCTAGATCATGTGACCAGCTCAAATAACTTGTTCAGAAAATCTTGGTGGCTAAACAAGATTGCATAGGTATTATACACATTTAATATCTATTAACCAATCAGCAATCAGATCTGAATAAAGTTTGTGTGATCCACTTTTGAACAGGTCAACTTGAGGTCAAATGTGCAGACATAGACAAAAACATGATATTGGTCATGCGCTGGAAAAAAAGCTTATGTGTAGATGGATAGTAATGCCCACTTGTGTGTTTATTGACCAATCAGAACTCGAGTTTTTTGAAAAATATGTGTGATGCTGGATCTGATGATAAACTGTGTGATCCTCTTTTTTTCCACAAAATTGAACATGTTATTTTCAGCTATTTGAAATGATATAGAATTAAAATTCTACAGTGGGATCTCCAAATCTTCCACAGTGGAGTTGGCTCTATAAAATTTCTCTCAACTGTATTTTTCTAACATGTTTTATACAAAGTTTAGGGTTTGTCCTATATTCTGGTGCATTTTATATGCTGCAAAAAACAAACAAAAATGTGAGGGGCTGAAAAGTTCTCAGCCTAAAACATTTCCTAAAATCTGATTAAATGATCAAACATCAGATTTGTTTTCAGAGGGCCTTAGTAGTTCCGAGAAATTTTTAAACAATCCCTCATATATTTTTATGTATTATGTATGTATATGATCTCAGTATCTAGTATTGAATCAATCTTTTTACAAAATCAAAATAAATAACAACCTGGTGTGCATTTTATTTTTAAATTATAAGGCTAAGAATAATATGATTGATTATCAAACAGATTGTTGCCATTTCAATATTTTGATAACACTGGACAAAAAAGATTTTTCTATTACAATAAAATAAAAACATGTATTTTTTTTTAGGTTAAGTAAAGAATGCAGATTCTAAATCCATACTCAGAATTGTTCTTGCATGTAAAAATTTGAAATTACACACGTGGACATGATTTTGCAGATCTTGTCTTATATTAATTAAATTGGGAAACAATTATTTGGTCAACTATTCAATTTAATCAAGTACAACATCATTTATCTAGGTATCATGTAGTTTTTTCAGTGTAATACACAAGTTGTTCTATCATAGATTGGAAAGGCTGCATAAAATGAAACTGGCTGTATAAAAAAAAATCAAACTGATTGAAACTGTAAGCTTCATCTCAGCCAGTTATCATTTTCATATTAAAATCTTTAATCTCATATTGCTCATTAAAAAAATGTTACAATAACCTGTTAACTATTACAAACATTAAGACATGCCAAGAACCTTTTCTTTTAGTACAAAACAATGTAAATATTTGAAGATATTATAAGACATATGGACTTGTCATTCAACAATAAATGTCTCATTAAAGACATTAGATAAATTGTTGGCACTTAATATGATTTCCACTCAGTGACGTGAAGGTTATTTTATACAGACCCCCAAAAATATTTTATACAAAATCCACTGCATACCACATGAAAAAAAATTGTTTAGCAAAGTTTGGA